GATAAATCCGATCTACTGTTGTGCGAGGTACATTTGTCGCTTTCACGACGGCAGACCGTTTAGTACCTATACGAAGGAGTGCGGTGGCATTTTCCCGCTTCTTTTTCATGAATGCGTCGCGTTCCTGCCTCCTTTTTTCGATTGCACTCTGCATGCGTATGGAGAGTCCCATGAGGCACGAATACTTGTAGTCAAAGTCATGATGTCAGTGCTGTAGAAGACAGTTTTACGAGCGTTGGGACGCCGTGGGGCTGCAGGAGTTTAAATTTTGGCGGACTTCTGCATCCCAGGGCAACGACGGAGGACGAAGGAACTTGTACGACTACAATGGGTACCCCCTATGTTGGACATGGCAACAAATTGCTGGACAATAAAGAAAATAAGAGAATGTATCTAAAATACATGAAATAGAACATTTTCTGGACAGTTTTCAGCAACGTTTGGCGGTTAACATGGCTATATCTCTGGAGCTTTTGCTTTGCAGTGAATTTGCATGGCATATTCGAATTTCCCGCCCTCCTTACCCCCTTTTTCCATCGACTTACGCCAAAACTGCTTAAGCCGTTCGTGTTTTTGGTTCACCATCTCGAGTTTCGGTTTTCCACAATCACAATACAATTCCCTCAACCCGTTCCCCTTCTATCTGCCATTCAGCTTTTGCCCACGACTTGCAGCTATGACCAAAAAGAAAAGTCTCGAGCAAAAAGGAAGGCAGCTGTTCCAGCAAGCCATCATCGCCCCTGAGAATGGACAATCTACGAGAGCAGCTGATGCGATGGCGCGCCTGCCCCGTTCCACCTTCCACTACAGGCTTAAGAATTTACACATCGCACGCAAACCGCGTACTTATCTTACAGAAGTTGAAGAATCTGTGATTGTGGGGCTTCTTGAGCGCTTTGCGCTGCAGGGCTTCCCACTTCGTCGCACAGACCTCTGCGACGCAATCAAGATTTTTGTTAGCGCCCTTCCCCTGGAGCGCCAAAATGCCCTACTCTTTTGCAACAACTTCCCTGGAAAAAAGTTTCTCAAGAACTTTGCAGACCGTCACCGACAACGAATCAATTTTGTTAGGGCATCCAAATTTTAAATTCGTTGGGCGGGGACCAATGCTACAAATCTCACTCAACACTTGGTGGCGCTTGAGTCTGTAATGGCCGAAAACAATATCGATCCATGCAGAATTGCAAATCTTGATGAAACCGGTACCACTCCTAACCGAGACTGCAACCAGACTGCTCGAACAAAAGCATACAATTTACGTGGAGTACAACCACAACAGCGAAGCCCAGAATTTCTAAATGTGAATCGCATAACCATGTTGTCTGTAATTTTCGCAAATGAGGCACCAGGGAGGTCAATGTTCGTCTGTAAAGGAAAATATTTACAATTCAGAACTACTGTGGTTGATGGAAAACCGGTCGTGGAAACTTTGGCGGACTGCCTACCGAGAGGCAGCATAGTTACAATGCGAGAAAACGTCGCCGGGGTGGATAGCTACAATTTTATTGAATGGGCTAAGCTATTTGTTGACGATGTGAAGGATTTGACAATGAACAATCGGAAGGTTTTGTTGGTCCTTGATGGTTACAGAAGCCATATGACGTACCAAGCCTTAAAAAAATTACAATCTGGAGGCGTTATCGTATACGCTCTCCCGGCGCACACAAGCGGATACACACAACTACTCGATATCTCTGTTTTTGGGCCCTTTAAGGAGTCATTGCGCGCAAATGTGGAGCGGCTGGCATCACCATGTGTGAGTAACAAATACGACATTTTTGATTATCTGAAAATCATGAGAGAAGCATTTTATCAATCCTTTACAAGAAAAAACATTGTGTCAGGCTTCGCGAAAGCAGGTATCTGGCCACTGCACGCGCCCGCATTACTATCACGTCCACTACCTGAGTCGGCTCTAAACCGGAGTCGCATATTGACAGTTGATGAGCTTGGAGATTTTCTGGAATTGAAAAGATTTGAGAGCCGCAATGGACTAGGACTACGTCCCAGGCTGATGGCAAATGGCTACTTGGATACTTCCGCTGGTTTAGTTCTCATGAAAACCTCCGCAATGGCGCTTGTGCATGGAAACTTTAAGCGAGACAGGGCAAAAATTGACGCCCAACAGCGTCGTGAACGCAATCCGGACGCAACCAAGAAGATACTGTACGAGCGGACTCGGGAAACACGCATTTTGGTCTGCATGCGACGTGCGCAACGACGGACAGCGACATATGGAGATCCCCTCATTCTTTCTCGACCTATTCGCATCCGGAGACAGATAGCCAAGAATCGCGCAACATAGCATCGACGCCAGGAAAATCATGCCGCTGATGCTTTGCTTTCAACCGCAGTTCCGAGATCAGGCAGTGCCGACTGATATGTTTTCCAGCCTTGTAATCATATTCTGATTAAAATGTTTGGGCCATGATTGTCATATGCTGTCCAACGTACGGGCTACGTTTTTCCCATTTTGACTTGAGTGAACTGCCTGAAGAAACTGACCGTCTCATCTGAGAAATGCTCCGTGGTCAAATATGTGCTACAGGATGTGAAAGGCTGTGTTCTACTCTCTCAGTAGACATCAAATCGGCGCTCGGGGTCCAGTTCTGGAACTTTTTGTGTTTAAAATCTGAAAATTGTCCCAAATAGGGGGTACCATACTTGTATCGCTAGGATGGCAACGGCGTGTTCTTGAGAATACTAAAAATTCCCAAATTGCTCCCGATTCCGAAATTGCCCCGGTCACGAAGGGTACAGGGGGACGGACGTCACCATATGGTGCCTACAGTACCCTTCTCACAGGCTCAATCTATGACAAGGCTCAAATTGTGACAACAAAATTATAATGCCGCGCTGCATAGTTTCGCGCATATGATTTTGCTAAACTATTTCGCAACGAATTAAATATATTCGTTTGATAAACATATTCACATGCTCTTACAAACGGTCTGTTTTCTGCTTATGCTTTTGCAGAGGTTTCCGTCGCTCTCAATAATGATTATGTGTTGCGCATTCTGAGAAAGAATATATGCCTGTCAAAGAACCCCACATCTAAGAAATCTAATAGAAAATTCCTCGCAACAGAAAACGCAGCGACGGTTGGCAATTTGCAGTCCGTTCGTGCTCATTTAGAGGGGCGGAATCCTCCAAAAGCGCCCGTACCCAACGTTTATCACATTCAGGAGTTTAATGTAGAGAATGATACTGCAAACAAAACAAATATTGACTCTCAGAAACGTCTGAAGTGCAGTCTGCGGTGTCGCCTCTCGAAGACATAGTTCGCGACGACTTGCCAATTTCGCAATGGCCAAGAGCCCGAAAACAGCGGATGCAGGTTGAGGAACGCGAGTTGTTGAGGACCCGCAAGCACACGGCAGCGTCGGCTTTGCTGGGTCTCTCCCATTACAGATGAAGCGTGCAAGACATGAAATTTCTCGTCGTCCCACTTTGACTCTGGCACACTTTGGAGACCAATTCTCCCGTCCAAATAAAGGCAATTTTCTTCGAAGACGCACTGCATTCACATATTTATCATAACTTCTTATGCGTCCCACATTAAGCCAGTGAGAAGGGTACTTTAGTACAGTGCAAGAAAAAACTAAAGAGCACCCCCAATTGTTGAACGAATTCCCGTGAAAAATGTTCCGTTCAAAACAAAAAACTTCCGGCAGACCGTTATTTTGCAAATCATATAAAGTAACGAACTTTCACATCGAACCCTTAATTATTTCGAAAAATACGATCACTTCGGCTACTGTAGAGGGTGCAAAATCTATAGAGCACAAGCCCGTTACACTATAGAAATAGGATATAAAGAACCTTTGTTGCCATTAGCATTGCTGTTTTTCTCCTTCTCGACATAAATGAGACACAAATAAGACCCAACGCAACCACAAAATGCCAAAAGGGAAAACATTGACCCCTTTTCAACAAGGTCAAGTCCTTGCCTTGCAAAATGAAAATTTTTCTCAAAAAGAAATTGCTCGACGGGTGAAGAAGTCCCGCAAAGCCATCCAAACCTTTTTAAAGGACCCTAGGTGTACAACGAAAAGCACGCCGGTGGAAGTCCGTCCAAAATGACCCCTGCAGAGTCTTGTCGGCTTCTGCGTGAGGCCTCGAAGGAGAAGAAGTGCTGAAACATTTAGAAGTGAGCTAGAATTGCCGGTTTCTAAGCGCAGGGTACAGCAGATTTTATCAACAAACCCTCTCCTACAGTATCAGAAGGCAAAAATAGGGCCTCCATTGGCTCCAAGGCACAGAACAGTGCGCGTAAAGTGGGCAAAGGAAAGAGCAGGGTGGAACATGGAGAAATGGGAACAGGTCATCTTTTCAGAGGGAAAGAAATTCAATCTCGATAGTCCTGACGGGCTCTCCTACTACTGACACGACTTGCGAAAGGAGGGAAAGGTTTTGTCTCGTCGACAGATGGGAGGTAGCTCTTTAATGATATGGGGGGCATTTTCTGAACTTGGTACTTCAAATTTAGCGATAATTGCTGGTATGCATATCTGTACCAAGTACACTACGACGCTTGCTAACTATTTGCTGCCTTTTGCAGAAAGAATGCACGGCAATGGATGGGTATTTTAGGAGGATAATGCCTCTATCCATAGGTCTAAGGTAACGGAGGCATGGTTTATTGCTAACAATATTAACGTAATGAGCTGGCCCGCGTGAAGTCCCGACCTCAATCGCATTGAGAACGTTTGGGGAGTGCTCGCGCGGGCTGTCTACGCTGGTTGTCGTCAATATAACACAGTTGACGATCTAAAAACGGCAGTTCTTGAAGAATGGTCGAAATTGGACCGAAAGCATCTGTATGGGCTTGTGAAGAGCATGCACAAGCGTTGCTTAGATGTCATCGAAGCTGGCGGCGGTAAGACGTACTAGCCACTTGTAATCCTTCCGTTGGTGCGCTTTTCGTTTCAATGCTCTATAGTTCTTACACCCTCTACAGTAGCCGAAGTGGAGATATATTTCAAAATAATAAAGGGATCAATGCGAAATTTTGCTCTTTTATATGCAACATAGAATCAATGCCTTTGAGCAGTTTTTCCATTTGAATGGAACTTTGGGCACCCCAATGCATTCACCATTTGGGGGTGCTCTTTAGTTTTTCGTGCACTGTACACAGTAGTGCTCCTCTCAATAGAGAGGAGCATTACTACCGTTACCGTCCGTGGTGCAACGCAAACACGCAAACGTTCCGTCTCGGTCGGTACACCGACGGTGCGGGAGGGGACGTTGCTTCCCGTGCGTCATACCCTCCGAGTGCGTTTCGACGCGTACGTCGCCGGCTTCCGCTGCCGCTCGGCGGTCGTGCGTCCGCACCGGCTTGATTGGGGACAGCGGCTACTCGGGCAATGACAAAAACCCGTGTCCGTCTCCTCCCGTGTCACATCTAAATTAGGGTCGCCGGGTTCCTTTCCCGAGGTCCCCCGCTTTTCGACGGAGTCCGCCAGTGTGGTCGGGGCCGGCGTCGGATGGGGTGGGATCGCTCCGGTCTGGCCACGAGCCCATGGCTTCACACGTGCCACCCGATGCGTACTGGAGATATGTCCGACCCCCCCTGGGGTGTTCGCACATGATCGCGGAACGGGAGCTGTAGTCCTCATCTGCGGTGTTCCCCGTGTTGCGGCGTGCGCGGACGCTGCCGGCGTAAACGGGTACTACGAGAATGGCTCGGGCCTTCAAGCGACCTCGCCTCGTAGGTGCAGTACGGTCACCGAAGTTCCGGTCCGTTTCTCCGTCCTCGACTCTGGCGGTTCCTCGTCGCGTACCTTGCAAAAAGGTCCGACGCATGCTTTCGATCACGTAGACCGTGAAACGAAGCAGTTCAGGAAGGCGTGCTAGCTGCAGCCAGCGTGGTTGGAACAACCCTGTATTAACGACTTAACCTCTCCCTACTCTCTCGATGGCACCGCGCACTCGCGCGGCAGCCTCGGCGTGGTACCTCGTCGTGGGAACCTCATGCGGTGCGGTGCGGCGCCCTCCACTCCCCGGCGTGCAGAAGAGCGGCGGGGCGCGGGAAGAGCGCGTTGTCGGCGTTGGTTGGGATGGCCAGGCCGCGGGCCCGAAGTCGGCGTTTCCGCGTGCGTAAACCGCGAGGTTCCTCCGCCCGAGCGATGAGAACTCTTCGCTTGGCTCTGCTTCCCCGTATTCGTCGCACGCCACTCGCCAGCGTGCCGGCGCACATTCCTGCAGCGAGCAGGCTGGCGAAGTCGTCGACGTGGGCGGCGTATCCCCTCGTGCATTTCTCCGAGTTTTCCCCGTTTAACGCCTTCCTTCCTCGTCGTGCTCGCCCACCCTGGCCCGTTTTTCTTATCGTTTGCGGCGACCCCTCCATCTTGTGTTCCCCACGCCACTGGAGTGGATATTCGTGCTCTGCGTGCAGAGCGAGGGTCTGCTTGTGCGCCCTTGATTGAGGAGGTAGTCGGGGTCGGTGTCATGCGTTCCGTCAATGAAGGAGCGCTGCCAGTCGGCGGTGTTGGACGGGAGTTCGTGTCGGTCGGGAGCGGGGAAGGGTACACGCTATAAAGACCCTTCAGATTTACCTTCACACTGCCCTTTCTTGCTGCCAATACTCTCCCCATTTCTTTCTGACCCACATCACAATTCGTTTCACAAGCCTCTCTCGGTAATCATGCGCAAGTAGATCATGCACATTATTAGATGCCCACTCCATGTTTTCAATCCCAGTTATCTCTGTTATCTCTCGAAGCTCGGCTTTCACCATCGCCATCGTCGCTTCATTTTGTCTCTCTGCACTGTAGAACTTCTCTCGTTCAAAAAGACTCTTTCCCTTTTCATCCACGTATTGCTCAGGCTTGAAATCTCGGCATTCGCAAATGCTCAGCCGATAAAACACTGGCAGAATCGTCGGAGGCATCACCCCAGTTCTCCGTGCTTCTCTCCTTCGACATAAGAAGCATCGTAATTCCCTCATCGTCCATCTCCGAGCGGCAAACTCGGGGGATAGAATGAAGACACCAATCTTGGCCGACTCCATAGCTGCTGTCATTTCATCCGATCCTGTATCCCCAGGCTCGATCCGCGCCTTATCGAGGAAGCAGTTCAATCCTTCTTTCTGTACTTCATGGAACACGGGCCCTGCAATAAACGACTTGTCAGTCCCAGCGTGGCTTATGAATACATCCATGGCCTCCATTCGAACCACTTTAGAACTCTGCTGCATCATCCCCGACGCCTCAGGACGACAATCTTCCACAATTTCAGGCATCAGCTCCCAAAGCCTCCACGCCTCCTCACATGGGGAAGCGCATTCGCCATCGAGGTTCGGCAATCTCGCCTTTGTATCGTTCTCGACCCAATCTCCGGGCAACTGAAAGGAAGCCGTCCACTCTCCACCGCACCCGTTGAGGTCTAAGCGGCACTTCGTCCGCAGAAAGTGCTTCATACGAAACCGCTTGCCTCTGAGTGGCATGCTTGAAAACTCCTCTACCGCCGTCACACAAGTCCGCGCCACACTCACAGGATCCTGCGCAAACACCTTCCATTCAATATGCCGTTTTTGACTCACGAATGACACCACCACACGTCCAGTTTCTTTTAGCTCAACCCTCGCTGTCAAAACCGCAGCATTTGAACCAACCAACCCCACCTTTGCGGTAGCCCTTCCTACCTTTTTGTAAAGATGACTGATTAGGCAACTCATCAGACCGGGGGGAAATGCATCTACAAATTCAGTAACTAACCGTACCTCCGACTCGCCAGGTCGGCTCGCACAGTGCAGCCAGTTGCCAGCTTTCGGCAACAGCGCCGGTATCGCAATCAAGTCTTCCGAATGTACCGGGGTGCCATCAGCGGGTTGCACTCGCATGAGTATATCAACGCTGCATAAAACATCACACATGACGTTGCAAGTTTCCTTTGGGTGTTCGTGCCACAACGCTCTCAGACCTCCAAAAGTCACTAATCCCTTTGCCAGCATTCGTTCGTTTTTTTGACTCAATCTTTCTCGCACCAAAGCCTCGGGTCCAGTCACCCGCCGGACAAAGTCAAGCATGACATCAGGACAAGGGAAAACATAAAATTCTTCTTCTGATAGCTCAAACAAGACATTCCTCCCATGGCTGTTAAAATGTCGCAGTGCTTGTAACGCGTCCTGCTCTCGCTCCTTTTTTTTTGTACTGAACCCTGGAAAACCATCTACAAAATTCGATATATCGTTCTTGTTCAGAACAACAGGACGCCTTCTCTCTGTTTCCTCGACGAACGCTATCCAGCGAAGTGGTACTTCCTGTCTTGATGCTAGGATATCGGCCGACCGCTGCTTGATTAATTGCTCCAGTTCTTGTATTCCAGACTCTTCAGGGTCATCTTGGGAAGTTCTGTTTTCAACGGCGACGAGAGAAATGGCGCGACCTTCGCCGCCGTTCTCTGTTTCAAGTCCGGCACGCACCCACGTGTTATACACTGCTTCCCCAACCTCGTCCAACAAGCCCTTATGTAAAACCTTCACAGCGTCCCCCCAGTCCCCGCAACTATCCTTGTGTGTACCCACAATAATCGGTCGCAAAGATGCGGTATCCTGGACGAGTGCAAATACGAGTTGCATCCACCGACATAACTCTCTCACTTCGTCCAGACGAGTTTCCTCGTCTCGCAACCTCTTCAAGTTAACGACAAACACTATTAGGTTTCCGTTCTTAACGAACAAGGCGTGTGCCATCACATATTGTGACTGTCCTGCCAAGTCCCAGCACTGAATGAGTGGGCGTTGGGGCTGTGTTGAAGTTCTCCGGCATACAGGACCATCCTTCATCAGAGAAGCTATGTAGTCATGGGTTCTTTTTGGCGGATGAGAAGCATCGATGAGCTGCGAATTTGGACGGATGGAAACTTTCGACAGTTGTGGCGTCATTTCACTTTTTATCGAAGCAAAATCAATAGGAGAATCGCTCCTTCGGCGCTTCTTTTTCGATGGTGTGCAGTCTCCGGTGCCACTACGGATTACTGGATCGGAATTCTGCTTCACCACCTCGCTAGTTTTCGTTCGCGAATTAAAACTCATTTGCTGGTCAAGCTTGGGAGGATTCGATTGCCGTAATCTTGCAAGTATAGCTGTCAGCGAGTCTTGATGACAGGCCAAATCGTTCAATTCCTCTTGACTCCTCGGAATCTTCCGACTCCCTAGATGCACTTGTATCCAAGAGACTGCAGCCAGCTGAGTAGGATTATACCCACTAAGAAATGGCATCCCCTTAAGACTACGGACGAGTGATGTCTTTCCTCTTCCACCACCCCCTAACACAAGTAAAAAAATTTGTGACTGCTGTGCTTTTGCTTCGCTGAGAGTTGCCTCTACATATTCGTATGAGTCGCAGTGATCAACAAAAGGCCGGCTTTCGATTCCGTTCTTCACATTTAAAACTGAGCGACGTAGCTTTTCACATCGGATATCGCTAGGGACTCCTTCATGTTCGAATTTGAGCAATTTGGTAAGACATGTCATCGCTGGTGCGAACATGGTGTCGTTAGTAGTCTCTTCGAAAAGCTGTTTCGCACGAGCCGGGTTGCGCAGTGTTCCCATGTCGGGGGACATCAAGGTATGACCGAGCCAGATTTTGTACCGAGGCAATGGAGAAATGGAGATTGCTTCTTCCATTAGCACGATGGCGCGTCGTTTCCCGGCATTACTTCCTGCTCCGTCAAGGACGTTGTAAAGATTGATTGCCAAGTTTGCTCTCGCTTTGTGACATCGGTCCGAGGCGGATATTGAGCGTTCGAGGAGTTGAATTCCCTGTGGACGCAGTGAAGGGTTTGAAAAGTACTTGAAAGCAAGGTTGTTGAGGGTACCGGATATGAGGAATGGGTCCTCTGGAAGGGCAGTGATGGCCGAGAGAATTGCATCGTGTACGTAATCCGCAACGCGATTTGGCATATCCATTATAATCCTAGTCATGCGGGCAGTAAATGTTGCCAGGTCTTCCGTGCCAAAGCGTATGGAAAAGATTGGGGTACCCCGCAGACGGGTTGGGCGAGTGGGGAAGGTCTGAGTGAGCGGGTCGTAGGTATGCGGGATGGCTGAAAGTATTAGGCGATAAACTGTGAGGTCTTCTCTAAGAGATGGGGGAAGAAAGGGATGAAGGCGTGAGCGTCTCGCCAAACGGCGAAGGCGGGAGATGGCCACTGCACAGTGGATGGCAGGTAGCAACTTGGTTGGAGGTCGGTAAAGAAATACATGGCTAGGAACCGTAGTCGGGCAGGGTTTTGGGCTCGGGTCGACCGGGGCGCGATGTGAGGGTAACTGGACATTGTTTGCGGGCCGAGGAAGGTGCTGGAGACTTTGTTGGTGCAGGAACGAGTTGTCGGTTGGACTTTTGGTTGGAGGAAGAGCAAAGGTGGGTTGTCGGCGCTTCCGGGGCGGGGGGGAAGCGGGGGCTTCGGTGGTGGGAGGCTCATTGAAAGGAGGGCTTAGTGGCAGGGACTCGGAGCGGTGGTGGACGACCATTCAGAGAAGCGGGGAGGAAAATGAATGACTGGCGGGAAAGAGAAGATGAGCTCAAAGCCGCCATTAACAATGACTTTTGTCTTCTACTGCACCCAAGGTACACCAGTATAGACCAGCTTTAGAGGCATCTAAAGCTGGTCTATACTGGTCCCCCACCTCCTTACTTGTTCTGCGACACATGTGTCGTAAACAGATGCAAGAAAATGTAGTTCCAACAATGCAAGTGCTTTCTCTGTCTTAGTGCCTCAACCAGGCATTGCTGTCATTCTACGCTAGTTGTCCCTCGTTGCCTTCATTACAGTTCATCTAGCCCAGTTCTCTGTGCTGTACTAACGTTGGCCGTAAAGTCGCGAAAACACGTGTTTTGGCCGCGAGTTTGCTCGGATTTTCTGATTGCAAAATTTTCAGACAACGAGTTTTGCAAAACTCACAGCATACCGAAAACTCGGGACATGTGAGTTTTCCACAAGTTTTCACATCCGCCTGATTACTGTACGGCAGTGCCGGATCGACCCGTCTTGGGAAAAGGGCCACAAGGAAAACGAAGTGGGGTTTCCGCTCTCTCATCAGCACAAACGAGTCTCATACTGCACGGTTCGTACCAGTTTGCGTCATGGACGCCCCTATCACTTCATCTACCCAGAGTCCATCAACGGATCGAAGCACCACAAGATCTGCCACACATGCCGCTAAAGCAATCGCAGAAGACAGACAAGTAGAAGCTTCTAAAAAGCGGTCCTCTCTAAACGGCCCCCCTCAGCCCGTCAAGAAGACGAAACACATCGCCCTTTCGACTGACAACTATTCTATCCTTGTGGCGAGCTACAATATTCGCTTCAGCGAGTATTCGCCCAGGTGCACGTGATCCGTTGGACGGCACAACGATGTACAGTCGACCCTACGCATTAGTGCCGCCCTGTGTAAGGACTAATTATACGGCACTAATTCGGAGCGGCACAATCAGAAAGCAGAAACACTACCCGGCCAGAACTCTGTTATTAGAGTCTGCTGTCGTTGCCTTTGACCCTGTCTCTCATGCCTTGCTTCTAGAAAAGCTCGTTTTGCGGACCTCAAGTGCGATAAGGCATTGCTCATATCGCACTCCACACCCAGACTCTCCAAAGACCCAAACAACCTTGCTAGCACTACAGCACTCGGTACGGCCCGCCTCTCCGTAATTTCACACTCGTCTTCTGCCACACACTCATCCATCATAACATCACTGGCAGACTGATTCACTGGCAGACTGATTCTGTAGCTCTCCGCCATAATGTATTGAATCGCAAGCATCACTAATAGAAGCTTCTGCTACAAGCTCATTAGTCTCGATCTCAATCCATTCCTCCACATCTTTCCTGCAGAATTCTGCAGTTTCTGAAAGGCCGTCTTCTGGCACCAGGCTCAGTCGGGAGAGAAACCCTACTATACCATCCACCATAGATTTATCAATTTCTGTTTCATTTCGACCAACGTTCCGACCTGCAGCAGATGCCCAACCTCGATTTTCTGTGCAATCGTAAGGCGCGTACGCTAAGCTTTGGCGATCTTTTTAGGATTCATGTTAGGGTCTTTGAGTGAGGTGCCATCACGTCACCAATTGAGCTGAGGCGCATGAGGAGTGGCCGATGACGACGTCGTGCATGACACGTGGCAGAACCTGTGTCTGCCGGTTTTGGCGGCACTAATTCGAGGGTGGCAATAATGAAAGCGGCACTATTGCGCGTCCCCCCCCTGTACCAGACTTGCGTTTGTTGCGGGCAGGTACAGTACCTTGCTGGAGGTCAGTGCGCAAAACTCGTGGGATTTTTCAAACTCGGGTTTACTTTACGTCCAGCGAGTTTGTGGGCAAATGGAAAAAAACAACGCGTTATTCTACGGACAACGTTACTGTATCTGTACAGACCTCCCTCTCTCTAATCTCTGTAGGCCCAACTGCATGCTCATCTGGCACTGTCATGCCAACTGCATCCCCGATTGAGACAAACACCCTCCTTGTCAGAGCCTTCCCGTTCCTCCTTCTTCCAGCGCATGCTTCTACACTATCTGCCCCCCCCCCTCCCACACCCGCAACGCAATCCCCGGTCATCGCCACTCCCGTGTCCCACCGCCCCTGACCGGCCCGCGGCCCCCACCAGCCATGACCTCCGCCTTGCCGCAGCTGCAGAGCGCTTTCGGCTGGATCTACTTTTTCGCCTGGTCGGCCACCTTCTGGCCGCAAGTCCTGCTCATCTTGCGCCGCCGCACCACGGCCGGCCTCTCCACCGACTTTGTCACCATCAACATCGTCGGCTTCATCTCCTACGCCATCTTCACCTTCTCCTCGTACGCCGTGCCGGCCGTCTCGTCCTCGTACGTCGCCGCGACGGGCTACCCGCCGCAAGTCGAGCTGGCCGACGTCCTCTTCGCCGCGCACGGCGCCGTCATGTGTTCCGTGCTCGTCGCGCAGCTCTTCTTGTTCCCGCCGCGCATCGCGCCGAGGCGCTACGTCGCCGCGAGCGCGCTCGTCGCGCAGGCTCTCGTCCTGCTGGGGCTGGCGCTCGCGCTGCGCGGCCGCCTCGACTGGTACCGCTACCTGTCCGGCGCCGGGGCCGTCAAGGTCGTGGCGTCGCTGGTCAAGCACTTCCCGCAGGTGTGGCTCAACCGCGAGCGCGGCAGCACCGTGGGCTGGAGCTTCACCATGGTCTTGCTGGACGTGGTCGGCGGCAGCTTCAGCGTCGCGCAGCAGGCCGTCAAGGCCGTCCGCATGGGCTCCTGGGCGCCCTTCACGGCCAACTTGGCCAAGACGTTTCTCGCCGCGGAGAGCCTGGTCTTTGATTTTTGGTTCATACTTCAGCACACCGTTTTCTATGCCGACCACACCGACATCGACCTCGCGCCGTTCAAGCCCGTAGCCGAAGACGAGCACGCCGCGGACGCCGCGGACGAGCACGTGGAGCTCGTCTCGCGGCGCGGCAACTGGGTTTGACGAACGCCGGACGTTGGGGCACACGGTGCAGAAGAGTGAAATACTTTACAAATGTATATATACAAAAAAAAAAAAGCAAAAGCGCTGCTGACGCTTTTCCTAGCGCGCGGTATCATACGTCGAGAGACATGAGTTCCTCGCAGTTGCACCGGTGTCCTGCGCCTAGCGTAGCGCGCCTCAGCAGCCTTGCCTAGCGGACATTGCGCGGCAGACATTAGCGAGCGGAGCAGGCGTTGCAGCGGGGGCAGCGGCGGCCGCGGCGGCGGGGGAAGAGGGGGGGCCCTTCCTTGTGAAG